CTTGTGACGTCAGTGGTTCTCTGAGTCACGTGTTTTGAATCGAGACCAGCATGTTTGGAAAGGACAGTCCCCACACCCATATTCTCAAGATTTGAACCGGGAACCATGGCTTGAATCTACCAATATCTGCTCGGAACTACCCACCTCGCCCAGACAGCTCTGCTGCACTTTCAACGTGCTCGCCAAATGGAGGACGGCAAAGGCCCCTGTGCGCGCTATTTTCGGCAGAGGGCCTCAAGAAATTCTGTGTGCCTCAAGGTTGTTGGTGTGAAACCCTGACCGAAGATCAGAAGCGGTGTGCAACTGGAACTTTGCAAGCCATCATGTTTGCTGGTATGAACTTGAGATTATGAGCAGGTTTTGGTTGTCGATGTTTGCATGGCGTGAACCCTTAGCATGCGTCAGAATCATCCTGGCTGATGGGGTTGTTCGGGCTTTCTCTCATCCGATGGTTTGCTCTTCCCGTGGAAAGCCCTTCCCCTGGACACTTTTCCGCTACTTCGGCCTAGTCAGGTCAATCAACAGAAGCAGCTCATTTGAGTGGCCACCTCTATGCTTCAGAAGTCATACAGGTTTGGGCTTCTTTGAGAGCCTCCAGCAAAACACAACGTCAGCAAGACAGAAAGCCATACTCGAAGAATGCCAAGCTAGGCATGTGCAGGCAGTCAGGTCATGGGCCACATAAGGTTCCCAAGGCGCATGCACATTAGGAACTGTTCATTTGACTCCTTGGCTGAGGTGTGCGTTGCACAACCTGGCTTGTGCTGATTTCTCGCAGCAAGATCATGATGGGGCAAAATGAAATGCAAGCTTGCAGCTCTTGCAGCTCTTGCAGCTCTTTGCAAGAACCTCTTGTGTTTTCGCAATGATCCAAGCAGTTGCCATGTGGGAAGGGGAGAATTCAGACTTTCTCAACAGCTTAGAAGAAAACTTCGCTGGGAGCCAGTGGCCCGGGGCAGCAAATTTTGACGCCCAAATGACCCAGGGGTTCCTCAGGTCTTAAGGTGGGTGCCAGATTTCACGGTTCGCCCAGGCAGCTGAGAGGGAGTGAGAGAGTGAGACGACGGCAGTTGCAAAGACAACCGGCCACGGAAGTGCGAGGTTTTGGCAGGTTGTGTGTTGTCTTTTTCCCCGAAGAGGGGGGGAAGAGGGGAACACATCCAGAACGGGTGGACGTTTTGGAACATTCAATGGCATGTTGGCATGCAATGGCCTGCTCAGGCCTGCAAGTTGCAACCAGAGGCCACTTGCAACTGCTTCGCATCTGCAATGCTGCAAGGCAAGCAGGGCTTTGGACGGTGCGACCGTGAGACATCGTCCCAAACAGCTGAGCTAACCTCGCGCTGTCCCTGCGGGCACTTTGTTGTTCCGACTCTTCAGTTTCTTGCCATGGCTCTTTTTCCCGACCTCCTGCAACTAATTCTTGCCACTCGCAGAAGGCCAACCACTGGACCAGACAGCTGAAAGACGCTGTGCTGCCCTCCAACAACAGAGCCCTGCAGTTGATTTTCGGCAGAGCTCCACATGACTCCGTGCCGCCGTGCTGTGTCCGGATGTTTTGGGAGCTTTGGCCGAGCAGTGCTCCTTTTTCCCTCTGACGTGAAGGTTTTGTCACCCACGCAGCTTTTGTGCTGAAGTCGACTGGTGTTCCAAGTGCTGCGCCGGCAACCTTTGCGCACTTCGTCGTTACATCGGCAACTTGAAAACATTTACACACTTGCCAGGGGTGACTGAGGGGCATTGCTTTTTGAGGCCGAATTGGGTCGGTGATCATTTCTCTGCCACCGGGGCATGGGCTCTGGAAGCCCCGTATGGACTACGCTACGGCACAATGAAGTCAAAGTTGGTGTAGGTCTAGGGGGGAGCGCTGAAAAGCAGGCTTGCCTCAGCTTCCTGTGAGCTTTTGCGGCACAAGAACAAGCACCTAATCACAAGCACCAGCAACACTTTTTGCTGCAGAAAGGCCATGCAATCCCATGCGGTTCGGCATTGCTCAAGTAATGTTGGTTACTTGATTTGCAATACTCGGACGGTGCATTCCGAAAGGCAGAACGTCAGACTCCGTATTGTTTGGGACTTATAGGTGGGGCAAATGCAGTCGGTTTGTTCAGCCTTGACTCTGGGGCGTCGATGGGAAAACACTTACGGCTTGAGCTCAAGGCAAAGGTCGATTGCGATGGTGCCACGGAGCCTTGTCTAAACACTGCCCCTTGCGGCTTTCAAGCTTTGCTGCATTTGCGTCGAGGGATCTCGCCGCAGTTTCGGGGCCGAAGATGTGGCTGCTGGCGAAATCTGCCGCAGGCGTTGTCGATCGGACTGAGCCCATGGGAATCACTGCCTCCAAACAGGTGATTCCTGTCAGCAAAGGTGTGCTGCCGAATTTTGCATGCACGCAAGCACTCCCCCCCATGTGTAAGGGCTACCATTGAGTGCGGTGCAAAGCCGCCCTCAACCACATCCTAAGCTCCATTTATGCCAGAGGCCGGAGGCGATAGCTCCTACGAAATGGGCGAAAAAGGCGCTTCTCCGCAGGAGCAGTTCTCCGCGCAAACTCTCCTCCGTGCATGAGTTAGCCTGCCATTGGATAAGTGTCTGCGTGTGTGCGCATGTGCGTGAAATGATGTTTCTCTAACTTCTCAAGCAGTTGTATTTACAAGTGCTGGCTTCCTTTCCTGAATTCCGACTTTGTTGAGGCTCCTCTTTTTTTTTGTTGCTGTTGCTGTTGCCGTTGTTGCTGTTGCTGTTGCTGTTGCTGTTGTTGTTTTTTGCCGAGGTTGCGGTGGCTGTGCTTGTGGTTGTGGTGGTGGTGCTCGCTGGCTGGATTGATAGGTAGATAAATTTGAAGGACTGGAGGGACAGATAGACAGATGGATGGATGGATGGATGGATGGATGGAAAGGCATATGGAAGATAGAGAAGTAAGCACATAGATAGACAGATAGCTAGACAGACAGAAAGAAAGATAGATCGACGGATAGCAAGATAGGTTTGCAAAAGATTGCATAGAAAGATGAACAGGTAGACCGGTAGAGACATAGATAGACTGACAGACAGATACTTGTAGATAGGTAGATAGACAAATAGATCTCGCTAGATGGATAGATAGGTAGATAGGTAGATGGATAGATGAAATGATCGATAAACAGATAGATAGACAGATAGGTAGAAAAAGAGAAAGAGAAGGACATTGTCTCGACAGACAGACAGGCAGGAAAGACAAACAAAAGAGAAAAGGAAGGAGAAGAGAAAGATAAAGATTATGAAGAGAAAGAGAAAAGGAAAGTAGGAAGAGCAAAAGAGAGAAAGAGAAGAGAAGGAGACACAGAAAAGAAGAGACAGAGACACATAAAGAGACAGAGAAAGAGACAAAAACGAGAAAGAGAAGAGACGGATAAAGATAATGAGAAAGAGAAAGAGGCAGAGACAGAGAAATATCATGAGACAAATAAAGCACAACAAGAAAGATACATAGAGTTAGAGTTTTCATATGTTTGAACCATTCGTCATTTGCTTCGCCGGCTATACTGGTATATAGCTTGTATGACCAACGGAGCTGCTAGAGCGAGTGGTGCCTGCTCAAAGCCCGGCGATTGACATGTTGTGACTTTGCGCTTCCCGCGGCAGCAAAACATTCAGCTCGAAGCATGTCGCACGTTGCCCTGTGAGATCCAACCGGGAGGCGGGGAGCTGGGAAGGTATTCGAAGCAAGGATCTTGGAGGGTTGCACCGGACTTTGCATTTGAATGGTAATCCGCTATGCCCTTCCCTCGCATCTCATCAGGTGTCCGCTGCAACAGGGCCATCAGAGTAATGTACTCTGCTGCCTAATAGGCCCATTCAAACAAACTCAGTGCGCTTGGCAGCGATGAGAAGGCAACCGGCTTGCGAGCTTGCTCTCCCCGAGCCTGTTGACTGACAATGCTGTTCATTTGTCGGAAGACCGAGCCCATAGATCAATCTGTTCAATCCAGAGACATGTCCAGCGCACCGCGTCGAGAAGAGCAATGTCACTTTTTTCTTGATTCTGATTCAAAGGATACATGGAATACAAATCAGTTCCACCCACTCCAGCATTTGATACTTCAGCTTGTCAGACACTTGCAATGGGTCCGCATGTTTCCCCGCGTTCTTGCCGGCCTGACAGGTCCATCCTTGGCCTTCAGTCAGGAAGCATCAGACTTGACGCTGCCTCAGTGAGTCATGCGGGAAGCTTGCAATGCATTTGGGGAAGTCTTTGGCTTGGCCAAGATTTCTGAAGAGTTTGAACTGCCTAGCAATCATCATTCTGAAACACCTGCTCCCTTTGCAAAGTGATACTCCATGCGTCCAGAGTAGTCTCAAGCTGAACTGCGATGAATGAGAAACTGCACCACCATGATGATCATCTCTCTCTGAGGATAATCTGATATATCGTCTGACTTGGTGATTTTTTGAAGCACACTTTATGTTCCGTCAGACAATGTCCACACAGTGAGCTTGCAAAGACCTATGGTCTTGGACACTGAGGTGAGAGGTTCTGAAACCTCGGGGAGCCGCGGCCTTGAGCTTTTGCATGGCGCGGTCACGGTTTTTGAAGTTCCTTGTGGCCGAAGTGACTGGGAGGAGGCAGTGGTGGTATTGGCGCACACTTGGACTCCAATCATGATAGGTGCGGAATCCTCAAATGTGCTGGTTTTTGGGAAACTCTGATTGCCCAGGTCAGTTGAACATTCACCTGTTAGGGAATTCACTCAGTTTTCACCCGTTGCTCAGCCTCAGTTCTCTTTAGTTCTTTTGGATAGTCTGAAATGCGCAGCCTCCTCAACTCATCTTCAAGAGCCACGCAGCTATACAGTGATTCGGACGTTGGTTCCCGCAGCGATTTTCTAGAAACCAGCTCTTTCATCAAGGAGCGCAAGCGCGGAATGTGAAGCCATAACACCCTTTTCGCTTGCTCTCCACGGCCCGGAGAAGGTGGCACGCTCGAGTCGTGCCACCTTCACAATGGCTTTCTTGAGGCGATGTCGGCCGGGGTGCCGTACATCGGTAGCAAGATCAGCCTGATCACCACCTCGGACATGCGGTATGAGGGGCCCGGGGTGCCCAGGTGCCGTCGGCACATGGGAGTTGCTCAAGACGGCAGTTCGGTGTGTTTCCAGCATCGCCGGCCAGCCAAGGCTCTCCCTCCCAGAGGTCTGTTTCTTGAGTGCTTCCTTTTTAAGCCATTCGCGCTGACTGAGTGTAATGCCACGAGTGAGGGCGTTGCATGGTCGAACGTACTTTTCTCAAGCTGCCTGACTTGCCTGACTGGCATCATTGCGATGACTTGCTATGTGTCTTGACCCCGTGGCTCAGGGGTTCTCATCATCGCATGGCATGTGTTCAGTCGGGCACACAAGCAGTTGAACATAGTTGAACTGAGGTTTCTTATTCGTTGCCTGACATGTATCAGGATCATGTGTATGCGTAACTTCAACATCATCAACACTTACTTGTCATGTTCTTGTCCTCAAGCATAGGCAGGACACATTTTCCAACTTACTTGTCATTTTCTTTCAAGCATCCAACCTTAGAGTACAAAGCATCACTCTTAAAACACCAACCGATGACATGCCGGAAGGCCTTGCAGTTTCAGCATCCCTCGCTGAGGATCCTCTGCACGCTGAACCGGGAGGAGTCCACCATTGCGGTCGGGGAGCCTAAGGAATGGTTTGCCAGGACGGTTTTCCTTCGCTCATTGCGTATGGCGGTGGTCAAACATGGGGCAACCCCAAAATGGAAACACTAAAACCGCGTAACCCTAGCTCTTTGATTTTGAGCCACACCCATATTGAGCCCCTTTTGTTCATTCTGTATTCGCTGAGTTTCCGGCGCTGTTGCAAGTTGTGGTGGGCAGCTGTGCAGCAGCAGTGAGTGTAAAAGTTCTTCATACCTGTGCATGAGTGCTGGGCCGCAAAAAGTCCAGGTCTCGAAAAATAGGAACAGGGCAAGACCTCGATGAGAGGTAGGTGCATGGCTACAACCAAGACGTCGGAGGCTTCCAAACCTGAACATGTCTCATGCCGCTCCGCCCGTGCTGTCTCTCCCATGTCGTTCGCTCCTTTCGCCTTTTGTTGGTTCCTGTTTGTAGTTGAAGCCTTAGACCCTCTCCCATTGAAACTCGGCCATCTTGCATTCAGCAACTTTGTCTATTTTTGACTTCAGACGCAAGAGTTTTCCTTTTGTTCTAGCTGCTGCCTGCCGCTGGTTGCTTTCTTCCACCGGCGGCTTCCCCCCCTCCCGGACGTCCCGGAGCTCCTTTGGCCGAGGTGCAGAACGTGAGATCCTTCGGCACCGAGGGGCGCACCGAGGGCGCTCGGGGGCCGCTCGGCGGGCAAGGAGTTCTTGCGGTCAACGGCCCTGGAGCCCTGGGCTGAAGCAGCAAAAGTCGGGCTGTTTTTGGCTCCTTCTGTAAAATTTGTGATTTTTTTACATGATGGCATGGCGGCAAATTTCGAGGGAGGAGAGTGCATTGGATTGCATCCTTCAATGAGTGGCAACGCCACCGACACAGCAGGAACTCGCCGAAAATCCTTGTACAGCTCAGGAAAAAGGTTCTGACCTTGCGCACAGAATAGGACTTGCAAGGTCTACCTGCCTTGCACGAAGGTTGGCGGTATTCATCAGTTCGGATCGTGAACTTTAGAAGTAAGAGCACGGGCGAGGCAATTTTGGATCTATGCGTAGCCCTTCCGCAGTAAGAATTTCTGACACGACAACCCCCATACTTCTTCATGGTAGATCAAGCTGGCTCTCCTTCCCTCTCTTGGCCCTTAAGACTTGCTGCAAATGCCATCCAACCATCACAGAGAAGTTGAAAGCTCCACAGAATGAGGAATCCAATCGCGTGCTAACAATTCTCTTCCCAGGTGTTTCCGGATTTGCGTGCTTCCATGCCTTCCTGAGAGATGCCAACGCCTTCCTCATTTTCTTGAATCCAAGCCAAGGCAGCACGAGGTTCCGATGTCCAACGAAATTTACGACTTCATCGTTTTTCGAGGCGGGGCGGGATTTGGCGAGCTGCTGGGAGGTCGGTATGCAGCAGCACGGTTTGAGCACCACCCTTGCGGGTTGACTCCAAGTGAGCTGTTGGATTGAGTGATTCAAGCAGAAGTAGGCGACCAACTCCTGCTGTGGGGGATGGAAATCGTCGGCTTGCTAAAGAGTGGCTGTGGAATTGTGGGAGCCTGGCAGCGTGTTTTGTTTGTCTACGGAGGCTGCAAACATTCGATGACAGAAGGTGTGAAGGGCAAGTCCACCTGCCTCGGATTATGTTGCATTTGCTTTTCTTATCTTTGCCGCGATCCTAAACGAGATATTATTTCGCACCAGGAGCTTAAACAATATCAGACAATTGCACATCCGGCACATCGGGCTTCCTTTTGCAAGGAAGATGCGCAGGTGATGAGGTTGAACCAAGGAGTCGTAGCATGGCAAGTGCACAGGGTGCTTTCGCAAGGTTGCTGAAACGACCAAAAGCCCAGCAGAGAGATCACGGCGCAGATCGACCAGGGCACGCAGACGACAACCCATCCACAGGCGAAGAAGCGACATGGCCAAAAAACACCTGCGAATCATTCGGGGACCGACCCAAAGGACATTTGGGGAAGCTGAGAGCAGGAAAAGCAGAGCCGTCGGCTAGGAAAGGACCTCAAGGACCTCACAGTCCTGCAGGAGCTCCGAGAATCCCAGCCCACGAGGAGCGGGGATGGCGTGGCAGGCATGTGCCAGGTGTGAACCCAACAAGTGGCTTTTGTGAAGGGGTGGCCGCCTTGAATGTGGAACTTTGCTCATGTGAATGGGAAATTTGAAATGCGGAAGGGAACCTCTTGGGGTGATACCTGGTAGGTGTTCTTTGTCTTGACGGGGAGCGGGGATGAATCTCGATTATGTTTCAGTGTTGAGTGTAAGTGCTGGCTGAAAAAGTCTGGACACTTGGCAGCAACCGGCATGAATGTGACAATAGGGCAGCATGTCGGGGAAGATGTGTTTCTATTTGCCTGCCTGGCTTCGGGTGCGATCGCCGCTAGCGTCGCCCACCGCAGGGCTCCGCCTGTCTACAGCGGGCCTCCACCTCGCGAGAGCTACCTAGGCCGTGGGTGGTTCCGAAGGTTTGGGGAGAATTCGGACATGGTTTATTGTTTGGCTAATCTGCTTTGGTTAGCAACCACTTTGTTTCTTGTCCACTTTCAGTCGGCCAAGGTGGGCCTCAATCCCGATTGGGAGCCTCAAATGGTTGGCACGGACCACTGGGCAATCATTTGCGGGCCATCCAACGGCATGGGAGAGGCAAATGAATAAACTCCCGACGGTGAGCTGTGACTGCCTGAGAGTAGGCGAAGCTTTTGTTTCTATCAACCAGTCCTTTTGTAAGGAATGAATAAGGGGACACCCCAAATTGGTTCAAGTGCTTTGGGTTATTCATACCTTGCCTATTCCTGGTACCACCATGGCCCTTTTTTCCGGGAAGGCTTTGCAATGCGAGCCGTGGCCAGATGGGCTTTGCTCAACCATGTACTAAGTAGAGGATGATTCTTCTCAATGGGTGTTGGTCCAGCTGCGATTTGTTTTTTGGACCAACTCCTGCTTCCTGCCACATATCTGATCAGCAAAGCCGAATGCCTCCGACTATTTTCGTGTCAAACAAACCCGGAGCGCACATGGTATATGCTGGGGCGCATATGGTAGCCATATAGACAGACCAAACAAATGACTCAAATGACTCAATGACTATGACGATGCCCATCGAGCTTCCTGGTTCCCCAAAAAAGTTGGGCTTCTTAGGCGGGTCAGCCTCGGCTCCCAGCGGACAGCCGTTTCTCAGTGAGATTGAGCCCGAGATCCTTGGCGGTGCCCCTTCCTTGTTGACCCATAGGCCAAGGTCTGGGGGCGGGGCACAATTTTTCTGCCAAAGGCTGAAGAGCCACATGTTTGGATTGCGCACGAAGGTCACTCCTTCAACAAGCACGGCATCGAATACGCCAGGGTCCCCAGAGGAGACGTGAGCCAACGGCACCTGGATCCCAAGCTGGTGAGGAAGAGAAGCCCTGAGACTATGACTCACCACCCTCACACCTGCTTTTGCTTGAGCATGTCAGTCGAGTTTAAAGGGAACATGGCTTCCGTAAATATGCCATCGATGAGCGGATCTGGCCGAAGCCAATCATTGTAGACTCACCAGGGTTCAGCCTTCCGCTCGATGAACCTTGAGTCAGCGAGCTTAGCAAGGGACAGAGTTGTCATCATTCGAATCTTAGAGCTGCTCCTGTGCGAACCACACCCCTGCATCACACAACCAAGCAGAGGGCCACGTGTTGGCGACTCTGCGATTGTTTGCCTCCAAGGATACCGGACCCAGCATGTATGGGATGCGGCCTGCTGGAAATGATGCAGGCTGGGAGTGCTGGCTTTGCACGTCCTTGGCGTCATGGAACATGAGCAGGGAAGCAAGGCAAACTCGAGGTGGATGAGCTGAGAAGACAGGTGTCGGGGCCTTCCGGACGAATATCTATATAAGGCACCAATCAAGACTCATGCTTCGCTTGAATCAAGAAGAGCTGCTGGTTCTGGATGCAGAATTTCCAGAGAGACCTACTTTGATTGCAGACCAACAATCGATTCGCAACTTGCCAAAAAATTGGCGGAGTTGTCGGTATCCCCCCTGCCATTCGCCATTATTGTGACAGGCAGGCCTGCCCGCCAGCACGCACGTGCGTGGTTTCAGAGTTCGGAAGATATGTTCTTCCAGGAAAACAAACCTACCAGCGGTAACCTCAAATCAGGCTCACTTCCCAGGTCTGGTGCTCACTGGAATGATCTCGGGCAATGCCCAAGGCTGCATGTGGCTGTGGCTTCGCCGGTCGTGTCTCACTTGCGCGGGGCAGGACTGGGTCTCAGCTCCAGCGGGGCTTCCCAGGGAGCGAGCGGCGCGCGGGGGGCCAGGAAAGCCAGGCGAAATGGGTACAAGTGTCACAGGGATGGG